TTGAGCATTATCATTATACACCATCCAGCATATAGCTTGAGTTAGGTGGATTTTCTGTTTAAAATTTTTAACTTTAATTACGTACTCATTTGGAATCATCGGGCTGTGCATTATCATTTTGTACTATTCAACCTATAGTTTAAGTTAGGTAGATTTTCTATAAAAATTTCTTAGATTTATTTACTTACTCATTTGGTGTTACCAAATTGACTTTATCATTTTGCACTATCCAACATATTGCTTGAGTTAGGTGAATTTTTTATATAAATTTCTTAACTTTAAATACTTACTCATTTGGAGTCACTAAGTTTGACATTATAATTTTGCACTATCCGATACATAATTTATTTAGATGAATTCACTATACAAATTTATTGGCTTTAATAACTTACTTGTTTGGAATCATCAAGTTGGACGTTATCATTTTTCACTATCCAACACAACTTGATTTAGATGAATTTTCTATATAAATTTTTTGTGGTTTTGATGACTTACTCGTTCCGAGTCACCAAGTTAGGCATTATTATTTTATATTGTTCAATATATAATTTGATTTAGACAAATTTTCTATGTAAATTTATCGTCTTTAAAAACTTACTTGTTTGGAATGCTTTACAATCACCTCATTGAAATATGTAGTGAAAAAATCTTGAAGATTAATATGATATTACCTATATGTTATATGAATTTACCATTTCCAAGTCATCCTTGCTTGTAGAATGAAATGAGATGAATCTTCTTAGAAATAGTTATTAGCAGCCACATTTTCTGGCTTATCAAATTTGACAAGATAATAAAAATAATATCAGCATCTGTGCACGGATGAATAAAATTTGAATAACACATCCCAATACACAGTATTATATAATTACAAACCTATTTCCTAATATATATATATATATATATATATCAAATTTGGGAAGATAATTAAAATATTTTTCATGTTTCTCCATACATGAAAAAAAAATTGGTCAACAAAAAATTACAAGCTTGGTAATAAAATTATAGCGAATATTGCAAAACCACCATGAAGTTTAACATGTTATATGTAAAAGAAATTAAAATTTGAAGAAAAAAATCCCAAAGTACAGAATATCATACAATTACCACCCTACTAATTATTTTAAAAATCATTTTCCTCTTTTCAACCTTAGCCATAAAAGGTTTTGACGAAGCTTCTCTATAGAACTATTCTGATTTGGCTCAATTCTTCACCACGGTGAGTTATCTTTCATAGTACATTATCTTTCTTTACGCTTTTGATGATTGCTCACCTTCTCTAATCTTCTCTACATTGATTCAAAATTATTTATACTCTATTTGAATCCATAGGGACTTAAATGTGTTTCCATGAGAGATATTTTAGTCAGAATTTTAGGATTATCTAACTAAATTTTTATGTTTGCTTTTTCATTAATCTCGTCATTCTTCCCAATAAATTTACAACAAAATGGAAGGATTTAGATTGTAATATTTTTAATCGAATATTCTCAATTGGAATTTATATTTTCTTGAAGGAATCTGTCTTTGAGGGCAATTTCTTTTTTGGAAAAAACTCAAATCCCAAAGAGATTGGGGTTCTGTCATAAGTAGTAGTTATGCTGATGAAAAAGCACAATATATTTTATAAAAATTTTGTAAATATAGAACATGGTTGTAATGTTTTCAATTAATTTTTTCAATATGGGATATTATATTAACAACACTCAATTATTTATAATATACTGAAATATCATATTTTTGATATAAAATATAACACGTTGCATAGTAAATTTATTAAGTACGCATATATATTTTAAGATAACGTGCACTTGTATCCGTATTTGCAAAAATGCATTTTTAATGCACTATTTATTTTTACTTTCACTATCATGTCTTTCTTAAATTTTTTTGTTAAATAAGAATAAATTAATTATGTTTTACTTTCGAAATTGATCTATATATATCCACTATATATCTTATCCACAACCTATATATTCATTTTTCCATTGGATTATTACAGCCATTACGTACCATACATCTGTTTTAATCGTAGATTGGTAAATAATTAACATTTCACGAATGATTTTTCAAGAACCTGCCACCCCATATATCTAATAGAACATATTAGATATGTAAATACAAATTAATTTTGATTCTTGGTCTTTGTTGCTTCTCTCTCTCTCTATCTCTTTTTTGGGCATAAATCTAAGCCCTAATATTTATTAAACAGTGCACAGACATATGAGATTTATAATGCATGTATAACATATAGTACTGTAAAATTTAGAGTTGAGATGAAAGCAAATAGATCTTTTACTTATAAAATATATCACTTTACATTCCATTGATAATATAGCTGAAATATGAAAGTCAAACTGCAATAGCACTCTGTGACCTTACTAATCAAAACACATTCCCACAAACTTCAAATTGAGAAAAACTCCTGCCCATTTCCACCATTATTCTGAGTCATATTATATCCTGTAGCTGGTATCATGTCCACACTGTTGAGACCATTAGTATACATCATGTTTGAATCGTTGAGGTCATTGTTCATCATCATATGATTAGCTGGAACCGTGTTTTGATCATTGTCGATCATCAGATTGGCTGCCGACAGCATCATGTTTGTAGGGTTACTGTTGGTAGGCATGACATTGGAGACCATGTTTGGATTACTGGGAATCATGGAATTGGACACGGGCATGTTTGGATTATTGTTGTTGAGCATATTAAGAAGCATCTTCATATAAGCTGCAGGATTAACCATGTTTGGATTAATCATGCTGGGACTAATCACGTTTGGATTAACCATGTTGGGATTAACCACGTTTCTGGGACCAACAGCAGCATTGAAGGGGATAGATTCGAACAGAAGTCTAGTTCCATTGGAAGAGCTTCCAAGAAAAAGCTGATCATCAGAATTAGGATTAATATTGTCTTCTTCAGCATCTTTTTCGTTTGCGAGTTTTATAACATTCTCCTGTAATTCCTCAAGAGCAGCTTG